TTGCAGATGGAAAATTTATTTTTCTCTTGAAATAAACATTTTTTATCGCAAAAAAATTAAATATTTCTTAGAATAACAAAATAACATCTTTTATTAGAAGACCCTTTATACGAAAGTTCCGGTGGAATAAACAATTCCGACGCACTTATATTGTCCTCTACGTTAAAACATATCTGAATTCAGTGGTTTCTTCTCAAAGGTGGATAAAAGGTGCCTAGCCTCTCCATTGAGAACTCGCAATGTTGCCAGAGCTCGAAGTGACGAGAAAAAGGGTATATATCATGTGCCGCGCATCTTTACGTCAAATGTTCGTTCCGATTCTTTTCCAGAATCTCATGACGATTTATTTGAAAATTTTATTCAATTTAATATTAAATCACTTAGTGGAATTATTAGCATAGATACAAAGGAAAAGAAGGATAATGGTTCAGATCATCGCCCCCTGCGGCTCCACATCTATTAAGCTATTTCGGAGAAGCTTAGCGTCAATTAGACAAATGACACTTCCGTTGCCAGAGAGAAGTGGATCTTAGAGAGGCAACGAGAACCCACCCCATCAGAGAGACCGGAATCTCAGAAAAGTACCTCGAGTGGATCCAACTGATAAAGAACCTCAGCTTTCCATACCAAATTGATAGTCACAACTGCAACACCTTTCAGTGAAGTTGCAACGGAGCAGTTAACAGGAGGGGTCATAGATGAGAGTGCTATAAAACTCTACGAAGCGACTATCGCTGAAATTAGAGTGTTGTGACCCGGGGAAGACTTGGTAGTAGTGCACCGCGGTGAGATCCCCATCAGGCCACAAGCATGACCCTGGGTTTCAGCAGAGCCCTCCCACCCAAAGGAATTTCCGACTTGGCAACAAAGAACTACTAAGCAGTGACTTAACGCCGTTTCTTCTATTCTTAGCTCTCGTGAACAGTAGTAGTATAAACAGTTGGGGCTTTTCGTCAAGAGCGGAACGGAAATGTCATTTCCAACCGATTAGGAGGTGACGGAAACGTCCTGACCGAACCATGCCGCATCAGATAAGGAAAACGATGTGCCTTTGGTATCAGAGTCTATTGGTGCCCTACTCAACAGACGGGAAGATATGGGGAAGATCAACCTCTGGATTCCGAAACTGTCGCAGAAAATCAAGGCACCATATCCCCCCTTTTGGCAGAAAAAGGCGAAGCAAAGGATTTGTCCGCTTCCCAAAGTTCTCCAAATTAAGCTGCATACTTCCTAAGCAGCTTCTGCTGTCCTGCTGGACGTTATTTTAATCCTGGAGCCTTTGTCACAAGTGCATTAACTCCCAATTGCTATAGATAGGATTAGAGCATGCTTTCTCATTCTAAAGATGTTTAATTATTTTCTGCACTGTTTGTAACGATGTAAAAATGTAAGAGCATATACACACTCTCGTCATACTTTATGTTTGATAACCAAACTCTGCCACCTAGAAACTACAAAGAAGGGAAATAGCTTAGCGCTAACTCTCATCACTCGTGGGGTTCTAGTGATGGTTGGTTGGTTGGATGAAATGGTTGCTGGGCATCAGCTCACCTAGGCCATAATCGTTCCCATTGTGATACCACTGAGGATCCTAATGATCCCCACCCGCTAATCAAACCAGTGCGTGGAGTTTGCAAAACCGAGCAGTTGCCGCATCTTGGCCCAGCTAAACCGCTCAGGTCTTTAAAGGTTGCCGCCCACAGAGACTTCAATCTACTCGTCCAAAGTGCGGTATGTTGGCAGAGAAAGTGTCTTAAGGTTATTCTTCCTTTGTAAGGTTTAAACGTACTAATCGCCTTGCTTGCTTTTTGTTAAGAGGTGTTTTAGTATAGGCACTGGTTTACTTCATGCCGATTCCGATGATCTACTTGTGGATGCATCAGGAAAGCGAGCATTTATAAGAACTTCAGAGACTACGCCATCTATTCATATCGATCGAATTGTATGTAGCGATGAATGAAAAAGGATTGCACCCTAAGGACTCTTCAATTCCTGATACTAATAAGCCAACGGAACTCAACACAAGATTACAGTTCATCTGTACGGTATCTAAAGTAGAGAGTCTTCGTTCTTACGGCAGAACATGCTACCACATTTCTCTTGAAAACTGCAGAGGGTTTGACGGAGTCTCAACAATACAAAACCGTTTTACGTGTTGGTGGGCGTCTTATGGGTTTCCAAACGGCTCTGGCGGCAACTGATCTTCACAACACCACAACTTGGCATAGACATATGTCCTGATGTTTATTGGGTTGCTCCGCTACATGTGAGTATACTACGTGCACATGCACATACGAACGCATTAGGAATTCGGTTGCAAATTGCCAACTATCTACACTATACGAAAAGGCTCGATTGAGCTTGGAAATTGGCGAGTTCAACGGCGATGTGGCGTATTTAACACCTCGGCAAAGCTAACAAACCAACGCTGCAGCAACAATATGGAGTAGAACAACTTGATTGGCTACCGTAGAGTAAAACAAACGTTTTCGAGTTGCCTTGCTACCAAAAGCTGTAAATATGTATATTTTGCTGCGCTACGCCTGCGCCACTCATTTTATTGTCTTTCGCTAGTAAAATATTTTTCGCATTTTTTTTTTTTTTGCTTTTTTTTTTGTTTTTGTATTTTCAACTTCATCACATTCGTTGACTTTTTGGTGTACGGTGTGAGAAAAATGGAAAATATTTGATTTGATTTTCAACGCGACTTTTAGTTTATCTACACGTACTCGCAATATTTCGTTAATGGCTATGTTGCTGCTGTGCTGTTTTGGCCAAAATGGATAATTGGTTGTTGTAGTTGGGTTGTACGCTCGTTCATGCCTTTGTTTGTTTATTGCTGCCAGCATTCTTTGGTATTTGAAATTATTATAGTTGTTGCTGGGGTGGTTGTTGTGGCTGTTGTTGTGGTAGTTGTTGCTGCCATTATTGGGTGGCAAAAATTGTACAGATCTTGTTTGGTAACACTTTTTTGGTAATTGAATTGGCTTGTTAGCGCCAAATTTTATGGTGACAGTCAAAATGAGATGACCAACAGTGATAAATTTATTTTTCCAAGTGCGTTTTTTTTATTTTTTTTTATTTTTTTATAGCTTACATACATATCTACCATACTTATAAAAAATTGTTTTTATTTGTATGAAACGTTTTTGTGGCATAAAATATCTAAAATAAAAATTATTAACTTAAAATAAGATAACTTAACTTAGTTTGGTTATGCTTGAGTGGACCGAATAGACCACGTCCAGAGCACGCAGTGAAGTAAATATAGCGGCTGCAGCTGAGGGCGTATACGAAGTCCGTAGAGAGTCGATTCGGCGCCGTTCGCAGCAACTCGAACTGACATATGGAACGACTTGCCATATTTTACGACGAGATCTTAAATTAAAAGCGTAAGAAATACAGCTTGTGCGCGAAATGAACGCGCTCGATCTTCCCAAGCAACATCACTTTGCTCTATGGGCTCTTGAAAAGCTCCAAGAAGATTCGACGTTTTCTAGCCAAATTTTGCTTAGCACTGAAGCCCGTTTCTGGTATGTAAACAAGCAAGATTGCCGCATTTGGGACGAATAGCAACCTGAAGAGATACAAAAACTGCCACTTCATCCAGAAAAAATAACGATTTGATTTGGTCTGTGGGTTGGTGAAATCATCGGTGCATACGAGTGTTTCTTCAAAAATGATGTCGGTGAGAACGTAAACGTCAATGGCGACCATTATCCGGCTACCATAACCGACTATTTGATGCCTGAAATTGAAGCTCGTGATCTCGGCAACATTTGGTTTCAATAAGACGGTGCCACTTCGCACACATCTCCTCAATTAATGAATTTATTGAGAGAACACTTCGGTGAGCAGTTAATTTCACATTTTGACCCGGTCGATTGGCCATCAAGATCGTGTGATATCACATCATTAGAATCTTTCCTATTTGGATATGTAAAGTATAAAGTCTATGTGGCAATCCCGCTTCGCTTCAGGCCTTGGGGCAAAGCATCATGCGTACCATTCGCCTGTTAACACTCGTAATGCTGGAACGAGCTACCGAGACATAGCCGCGGCCAACATTTGAAAGACATAATCTTCAAAAAATGAATACCAAAGAATATTCTTTCGATTGATGATAAACATTTCTCATTAAATTTGAGTTTTCTGTGTTTTTATCTTGAAAAAAGAGTGGAACCTCGAAATGTATCTACAATATTTATAGTCAACCTTTTTCAGGCATCAAATAGTCGGTTACCATTGACGGTTACGTTTTCACCAGCATCATTTTTGAAGAAATATGAATCACAAACCACACAATTGTTTACATATCAGAAACGGGTTTCAGCGCTGAACAAAATTTGGATCGAAAACGTCGGATCTTCTTGGAGCTTTTTCAAGAGCCCACAAAGCGAAGTGATGTCGCTTGGGAAGGTCGAGCAGCTTTTGTTCTTGCACAAGCTGTATTTCTTACGCTTTTAATTTAATATATCGACGTAAAATACTCCAAATCCTTAAATATGTCAGTCCGAGTTGCTACGAACGGCGCTAAATCGACTCTCCACGGCCTACTGTGGGCTAACGTGATCTATTCGGTCGAATATTATCGAATAATAAATGCTGGGTCTCAAAATGGTTGAAGGTGTTGCGAATAGTACGCATAGTAGGCCGATTATGTTGATCAGAAGTTGAGCGAAGCGCACGAAACACAATCTTTGCAGAACGTGAGTTTTCGTAATTAAGTTGAACGATTTGTAAATGTTGCTCAGGCGAAAGAAAATCATTCCATGATGAAAAGCCAAACAATACTGAACAAAAATAGCACGACAGCTTAACACGATTCACGCGTGATCTGTCAAAAAAACCGCTATTAAAAAAGAGGATCTCTACTTGGATCACCTGTTTTAATACCAAACAAAATATATAGATTTATCTGGGTTTTCACACAGAAAACACATGAATTTACACAGCAGAATACATATACGCATACATACATACATTGTTCAAACCTTGTGATGGCAAATACAATATATGACAAAGAAAAAAATCTTAAGTACGACGATCACTGCTCAAGGTCAAGGGACGGATCACCAAAACTACCCGCCGACTTTGCTATAAATACTCCAACTCAGCCCCTGCGCGCTAGTAAAGCGTTGAGATTTCGGTGCGAGTGTGAGGGCCGCTTTATGGGTATACTGTTGGGCCAGATTTCGACACCAAATTTGAACACCTACCCCACCATCGAAATTGTCGGCTTCAAAGGACGCTCGACTGTAGTGGTCTCGTGTGTGACCAAGGATGCGCCATATCGTCCGCATCCATACAATCTGGTGGGTAAAGAGAATTGTAAAAAAGGTGTTTGCACTGTGGAAATCGACTCTGACACAATGTGTACCGCATTCGAAAATTTGAGCATACAATGTGTTAAAAAGCGTGATATAGAGCAATCCTTGCGTCTTCGTCAGAATATCCGCGTCGATTTATTTAGGACGGGATTCGCACACAGTTCCAACCTGTCATGCCACGAACTCAACTGCGTACGTTTGTGCTTTCAAGTATTTCTGGCAAATGAAATGCAGCATTACACAATACCACTGCCGCCTGTTGTTTCCGCGCCCGTATACAATAAGAGATTCGTGCCAGATCTTAATATTGTAGCTAGACGAGTTAAAACGAAAGCGTCCAAAACTCAATATAGAGGCCTTACCAAGCCTTGAAGTGTTTCAGTGCCCTGCTCAGTTTACTGATCAAAAGACAAATGAGGTGGAGTCTACTGCACAACTTTCACAACCACAATATGCACAGGCGTGTGCACAAACTCAGCAGCAGCAAATACCGCAACCTTGAAGTCCATATTGCTGCTGTGGAGCCTTTTTGAAAGGAGATCCGAAGTAGTCCCGCCGTCATCACGCGCTGTGCCCAACCAACATCTAGTCGAATGATCATCAAGCGCGTTGCCCTTTCGCTCAATAGGCCCAAAACGAAATGACCACGAGTTATGCATTCTATGACTAATGTTGATGGCAAAGTCTTCCTTACTTTACTGACGTAGACATCACTTACGCGATTATGGTCGAGCTAACAACATTGCGTCATTCGTTCCTTCTTTTTGCCGTTTGGCGCCAATTGGAGATACCAAGTATAGCCAGGTCCTTCTCTAACTGGTCTTTCCAGCGAAGTGGCTAGCAAATTCAATTTTGATTATTACTGCGAGTGTTCAGTGTTTTACCAGCTATTATTCCAGAGCTTACTGGTATCACAATTTTCGTCTTCTTATTTGGGACATCACTTGATCTCTTCCTATGCTTTGCCAGCGGATACTGCTTCGAAAACTTCCAAAGCTCTAGTCTTTTCGTCCATCCGACGGCTTGAACTAGCCAGTGTGTCCCTTGTTTCTTGATTTGCTGTGTCCCTATATAACTTGTACGGCTCATCGTGTCATCGTTTGTGGCATCCAGGTCTCTGCTCTCGTGAAACGAGCTGTTTTGACGGTTTCGGACCACTGATAAAGAGGGGTTAGATGCATAGAGGACATGGATATTTCACTATGGAAGTGATGCGTCGATGATATCAGGAGGCTCTCCATCTAGGTGCCAAGGGCGGTGTTCTGGCAAGCTTGTAACTTCTATACACCGGGTACTGGCAGCTAACGATTTTGGGGAATTTTGTTGTCGAAAATTCGTATGCGGACTGAGAACGTGAAGGCTCGTCCAGCTGAAACGGTAGCCGAGTATTTTTAAGATTGTGGGTAGAACGAGAGCAGCAAGGCCTCAATTGCCTTCGCTACTGAGGAAAGGAGAGATATCGGCCAATATGATTCTGTTGTTGTTGTTGCTGTATCGGTTCGCCAACCCCGCTTAGGCACAGGTTTGATCAGTCTAAGTCGAAGAGGTCATCTGATGGTAGGTCCAGGAAACGAGCTGTTTCGACGGGGTTGGGCCAGAGAGAGAGGGGGGTTAGATGAGTTGGTTTGAGAGGGCATGTGAAGAAGTGGTTAGTGTCGTGCGGAGACTCTCCACATGCAGGGCATACGTTGGGTATGCTGGGGTCTAGTCTGGATAAGTAGGAGTTTAACCTGCTACAATATCAAGACCTAAGTTGTGTCAGGGTCACGCGGGTCTCTCGAGGCAGCTCGAGCTCGTTGTACGCCTTTCACTAGAAGGGAGTCCATGAAGGTGTTGACTGACTCCGCGTGAAAGGCGTTCAGTGCTTGTCGGTACGCACCGTCCTGTCCAGCGGTTGTTGTACATGTTGCTGGATTGTGTCCTTTAAGTCTAGTACTCCCTTTTTGATGTGCCTAGGCCTAGGTTCAGCTTCTATTAGGTGGCTACTGGAGTGCTCCCTGTGGTAACATCCCAATAGGAACTGCTTGCACAGCAAAGCATTATGCTCCTTAACTCGTAGCATAGATAACTCCCTGGGCAAGTGATGCTCCGGCAACATCAGGAGGTTTCCTGTCGCGGTCCTGAGGGCGATGTTCTGGCAAGCCTGTATCTTCTTCATCTGCGTTTCGTTCGTCCCCGGGGCCCAGATCGGTGTAGCATAGTTTACGACCGGCCGACCAATTGCTTTATAAGTAGCTAGCAAAGTTTCTTTGTAGTATTTGAGTATTTTGTTGCGACTCTGGAGTTTCACTGCAATTGCGGTCGTATGCGGAGCGAAGGAGTGAAGGCTGTCTAGGGTTACTCCCAATATTTTTGGGTTATTTACCGTCGGAATTTTTGTGTCATCGACCTTTTCATCTAGTTCAAGCCTGTACTCCTTCGTCCAGCTGGTTAAGAGGGTAGCCGAGGATTTCGGTTGTATTCTTAGCTGTCTTGCAGTGAAGAAGTGGGAGAGATCAGCTAGGTAGCCGTTCACTTTCGAACATAGGTCATCAATATCCTGGCCAGATGCCATTATCGTACAATCATCGGCATAAGAGGTTAGGGAAACTCCTTCGGGTTGTGGAGGGAGTTTCGAGATGTAAAAATTAAACAGTAGCGGGGAGAGGACACCACCCTGCGGAACCCTCTGTTCAATTTTCCTGGGTTTAGATGTTACACCTCGGAATATTATCGATGATTGTCGACCACTCAGGTAGCCCATGACCCACCTCTGCAACCCCGGCGGTAATGTGGATTCCTCAATGTCCGTTAGTAGCACTGAGTGATTGACTGTGTCAAAAGCTTTTGACAAGTCCAATGCTACCAGGACAGTTCGCGCGCAGGGTCGGTTTTGGTTAAGGCCATAGACTATCTGAGTGTTTATGGAGTTAAGTGCTGTTGTGGTACTGTGCACTTTTCGGAAGCCATGCTGATGCGCTGCTGGACGCAGATGGTGAGTGAAAGTCGGGAGCAGTAAGGCCTCAAGTGTCTTTGCTTCTGGGAAGAGGAGAGTTATTGGCCTATAGGACTCTCTTTTGTTGGCTGGCTTCCCCGGTTTAAGTAGCGGGGCCACTCTACCCATTTTCCACACATCGGGTATCTTCCGGGTGGTCAGAGACAAATTGAGGACCCTCGTGAGAAATTTTGGATTTGGAGGCTTTCGCCTTCCCGACGACCCTCTGAACCTCCTCCCTGGAGAAATCAAGCACCGCGCTGGTGTTTGGCAGTTTGCGCATACGCCATGTTACACGTCGTTTCGCTTTGTCTAGCGAGGGATGCAGTGTGAAAAGTCGGCTAAAATAGCTCGCGCATTTCTTCGGGTCCGACGAGGCGCGATCACCGAACGAAATTTCCACCCGGTCATCGCGTCTCGTCGGGTTAGACAGCGACTTGACTGTAGCCCAGAACTTGGTTGCCCCAGAGGAGATGTTGCAGGGCCTTAGGTGTTCCTCCCACTTTTTCCGCTTGTGAATGTTGACTACTCTTCGAATCTCCGCGTTTAAATCCCTGATTGATTCCCGGGATAAGAGCTTCGACGGGTGTCGCGCCTGGATGCTAATACCGCCGCTTCTGTCAGAAAATTCAGGCGGATTTCCGCAATTTGGCCTGCCGGGATGAAGCGGGCGGCAGCGGTCACGACGATCCTGCGGAATAAACGTTCACCAGTGGTGACGTTTGATGGAGTGGGAAGAGCACTAAAGGCGTTCTCGGTAGATTCCGTGAATCCGGGCCAGTTAGCTTTTTTAAAGTTAACAAAAGTCCGGTGTTTCGCGGAAGTCGGGAGGCCTGTCAATCGAGATTTGCATGGGCAAGTGGTTCGATGCTAACGTCAGTATAGGTCGCCAGCACTCGCAATTGTTATGTCTGGCGAGCTTTGGCAATTACCCATAACTCTGGTGGGAGCGTTGTCGTTCATTGTGCAGAATGTCGAATCGTCTATTTGTTCTGCCAGCTCCATTCCTCTGCGGTCATTTGACAGGCTAGAATGCCAAAGATCGTGATGCGCGTTAAAGTCGCCCAAAACCAAACGGTTTTGGCCCCTGAGTAGCGCACCTATATCAGGGGTCTATCCTACTGGGCAAATTGTAACTGGAGGAATGTATATATTGAATATTTCGAGCTTGAAATAGCCTGACCGGATAGCTATGCCCTGACATTCTAGGGTAGTATCCCTGCGGTCGATTTCGTATAATATCAGTACCAATTTTGATGGGCCTATCTCATTTCCGTTTAGTACTGTACTTTGGACCAAAGTTAATATATGTATATACGTAACAGAAAAATATTTAATTTAAACACTTACAAAACTCGGAAAATTCAAAATTTTGTGCAGGAATTGTGAACAAACTGAAACAACTAATGTAAATAGTAATCGCAAATGATATTTATTTTATCGATAACTAGTCGACGTCGTCTCAATGCATTTCGGCAATAGTGTCGATGGCGGCGCGATGGAATTTCGTTAGAAGAACGATTACGTAATGGAAAGTAATACATACATACATATGTATGTATGGATATGTAATGCTGTACAGTCTGCTTCTTTCGCTGTTAATAAAACACACTCGCGCTATATTTATATGATTTTGTTTCATACTTAGCAAAGAATTTTTTATTATTGAATTCGTTCGTTGAGTGCATTTACATACATACAAATACAACAGATTTGTAACTTTGCATTTTTCAATTTAATTTTTTTTTTAAATTTTTCCTTTGAATTTTTCTTTAAATTAATTTTTTTATAATTATTTTATATTTTATATTAGTTACCTGTATTTAATAGTTTAATACTTTTTTTTGTAATTATTTAAATACTGTTATTTAATTTTTAAATTAATTACTACTTTTAAATTCTATTATTATTTACTCTTTGCTCTAATTTTTAGCGGTTAGAGTATTGATTTGTTTTTTTCTTTTAATATATAATATTTATATGTAAACATAAGATTTCTGCATGAGTTTATTGTATCTTTTTGATGTACTTATATATATGTATATGTATTTATATGTAAATAAATAGTTATTTATGTATGTATGTATGAACGTTTGTATGTTTGTCAATGGAAATTAATTGTTTTGTGGGACTGGTTACCGGTTGGTTAGTGAAATTTGAAATTTAAATACTTACATACCTAACACATACATATGTATGTAGTTATATTCTCGTATATATTTACGAGTATTTATCACTTTAATAATTGTATTATATATAAATAAATGTTTATGCTTTCAATTTTTATGAAATAATTTATTTATGTATTTATTAAGATTTTATTTCTTTCTTTGCTTTCTTTGGTTTTTGTACATATGTATGTATACAGATTTATGTATGTATATAATATTTATTACTT